GCAACACAAATGCATGAGATTAGTGACTGCAGGAGCAAACAGAATCAGTTTAAATCCTGTAAGACAAGTGAATGATATTACTTCACAAGTATGAAATCTGAGATCTCTGTGCCTTTAATTTAAAAAACCTGTACCTAATAATCACATTAAAGTCTGTTTGGCATGCCAGACAGCTTTTACTTCCTCTGTTATTTTTACAATTTGAACGTCCTTTGTAGTTACTGAAATTAATTTATGCCTTTCAGCAAATATTTTTTTTTAACTTTTTTATCTATAAAGGTTGGTATTGTCAAATACAATATACTTCTATAATTCACATCTAAGTGCTTTTTCTCAATTTTTGAATTCAGTAAAAGCTGACAATCATTATTATAAATCTTTATAAGGCTTAGCATTTGTCAAACCAAACAATATAATTTTAGCAGAAATAGTAGTATTGCAACTCCATTCATTATTTATACTATGTTGTAGAGTGTTCACAGTGCTTAGGAAATTCAAACATAACTTTTTTATTTTGTTTTAAAAGGTCAATTATTTCCTTAAGTATTGGCGGATAGGAATGAGAACTAACCCTGGAGCAACAAATTCAGCAAGGAAAATGGGTCAAAGAACAGATGTTTGGAGGATGACAGAGAGCAGTGGTACAGGTAACCAGGTCAGCAGGCAGGAATCCTGATTAGAGTTAACTGAACTCCATTTCCCTTTCATAATCAAAATACTTGAAAACCTAATTTATAGCACCAGCCAATTGCAATAAAAATTTCCTAAAAAGCCGTAGAAGCTTTCAGTAGTGAAAGCAATAAGATTTCATTGTACTAAGACAGCTGAAAACCATCTTTATGGGAAAAGGTTGCTAAATTCCCAATATGCACATATTAAAATGACAATTAGCAATTTAAATAATTTAAATAATTAAACATACTGATAAAATGAGCACAACTTAACCTCATCTATTTTGGGTTGATTATTCATTGGTTGTTAAAAGATGTCTTCCTGAAGAGAGACAAGATAAACATATCCTATATTTAACATGACAGCAGTTAAAGTAATAACCCTTCTTACAGTATGTCTGTACCATGGTTGCAAGCTTAACCTCTCTGAACTGAGGAGCACAGGAATATGTGGCAAAGATATTTATGCTGGTATCACATGAGGCAGCATAAATAGAAACAGTAGAGCTGAATGAGCTCAGGGGCACTGCAGTGTGGACATTTGTTAGTTGCTGGATTTTGGCTGGCACTTTCCCAGCAGCTTGCATCACGTCATGTGGAGGTACAGGTTTGGATGGGGAATCTTGTACACATACCCATATAATGGGCCTTACAGTAATCCTTATTTGGGCTGTATTTTGGGAAATAACAGTTAGCAAACTTAAATGTCTACAAAATGCCAATTTGAATACTAGTAGAAAAGAAAAAAAACATGAAGGAACACTTTATTAGGAATTACTGAATTTCAGAAGTCAAGCTAAGTTATATGCAGGGATTACAAACCAACTATGGTGACTATCTGGCTTTAATTTTACATTTTGAAAAGTGAGTTCACACATGCTTCCAATTGTAGGGGAGAGTTTGTTTCCTCCCCCTTTCCTCCCAGATAGCTTGCACTTGCTAGTGTAATCACAGATCATATGAAGAGAAGGACCTAACCTCAGGCAGAACCACTACACTGATGTTGTTTCTTGCAGATGTTTGTGTAACCTGTTCTTTAAGACCTGCAAATACAGAGACTCCATAGCAGCCTATTCCACTGCTTTATCATCTCCACTGTAATTCTTTGCCCCTCAGTTTCTAACTCTGAAGCCTGTGATAAAATTTTGCCCTCCAAAAGTAACACAGTGCACAAGACCCTTCCTCATTATACTTTTCATGTAGTTGAATACTTACATCCTCAGTTCATATTTTTTCAGTTCAATAACATTAATTCCTTCACAATCTTTCCTTGTAGGTAGCATTTTAGGAACCTATTATTCTCTTTATTCTCATCTGGACTCCTTCTATCAAATGACATGTTTAAGCGCAATACTGAAAACTAGTCACAAACTAAGGATGTAGTAAGTTAAAACAACACCATGAAGTTGAAAAGTTCAGAAAAGAACACTCTCCTCAAGTCACTTCACACTGCTTAAAAATTGCCAGTGGGAATGAATGTAGTTGGACACAGGAATTTACTTCTTCAGAAAAAGAAGGAGTTTAAGACAATTTAAAATAGAATTTCTTTGAGGTGGTTAGAGGGAGTGAATTTCACTGATTCTCTTCTAGTATATATGAATGGTTTCTGCTTATTCTTCAGAAAGTATTGAGATATTTTTCTAACCTTTATTTTGCTGGAGAAGAAAGCTTTGAGATAGAAGCAACAATGGAGACATTATTTTGGACTGGATTACTTTGAGCTGTTTTTATTAACACCTGTTTAGCTAATCTACTGTTAAAAAGGCTTTGAATGCTTAAAATCACATGGAAACAAGCACATTGTACCTTCTCAGTCCTTTCTATTATAGTTCTCTAAGTGTGAAAGGAAAACCAACCCTTACTGCTCTTGATGCTTTACAGGAGAAGAAACGAGAAGAAAGTGATCTCAATTCTTTTAAAAAGTATTTTCTGTATTAGCAAATGTCGGAAAAACAAATTCAAATTTGCCCTGGAATGTTTTTCTTTTTTAGGATCTAGTGCATTTGCTAGATAATACATACTTCAAATTCTCTCTGGCTTGACTCTTGTTAAATCAGCTGTAGGCAAAGGATTCCCAAACTCTGCTGCACAAACTATTTCAAAACAGCGCCTTGTACACCAAAACTTATCTCCTTGCACTGCTCCCAAAGGAAACTGTGAGCAGTTGTTTGGGCAGCAAATGCTGCCTGCACATGCAAACACCTCTTTTACTGTGCTCAAAGTTTAACAAACCCAGAAATTTTTCCTGCAGCTTTAACATAACATTTCTTATTCAACTCTGGTAATGCCCAAACAAATAAGAATCCTTGCTGCTAATTTAGATGCTATTCTATGTCACCTTCAACAAATAAAAAGGATAAATTGTACATCTTGTTCAACAGCTGAATGGATATATCTGAAGTAGTTTGCAGTTTCAACGTTTCTAGTATTGATGCAGTAACAGTCTGAGATCCAAAATGTTTTCATGAAGCTTTTGTTTCTGTTTCCTCTTAATACCTAATGGCTGCAACTCTGTGCTATGTGATGATAAATATAGCAGAAACTCTAATGCAGTTTGTGTTGGAAAGCTGACCTTGCATTATCAGCAGTCGGAAATTTTAGAGAAGTAAAAACTTGTGTGGAGAACACATTAATCATATAGTTGGAGGTCACTGAAAGTAAAAAGGACTACACTCAGACCTTTCTCTACACAGAAAAATCCTTGAAAATTCCTTTTTTCATACAAGAAAATGACAACTCTTAGGACAATCACATCTCTTTCATTTCTCTTTCCAACTCACTGAAAGAAAAGAACATGTTGTTGAAGACCTCTCACCTACCTGAAGAAGCAAGTGAGCTTTGTTTTTTCTTGCCAGTACTGGATGTTTGCAACTATGGTGGCCAAATATATTATGCAAAGGATTCTTAATAAAGAGTGTTTTTACACCCAAGTCAAGGAATAAAGCTGACAATGGGTGCAAAAGGCAATGCTAAGACAGCATTAGTTTTGTGATGGGTATATGTGGAACCATTCCACATGTCTGTATTATCTGTATCAAGGTAATTAACCAGATTTTCCAAACCAATCCCAAAAGATCTTTCTCATGCACACTGTACACTACCAACACATATAAAATATTTTTGCTGTTAATATCTGCTCAGTGAAATGTTGCATCTTTTAAATAGAATCATTCCAGTTCAGTAGTATGAATACTTCAAGAAATATAATAAACAATACTAATCAGAATAAACCTTAAAACCCTTAATTTCATTGCATTAGCAGGTTAGTAACTTCTTGCTTACATACACTTTTTTTGCAAATAACATGTTGTTCTAAAATTAGAATGCAAATGGCTTACTTTTTGGTATATGTAACAGAACTGTATAGATGCATTAAAACTTTAAAAGTAACTTCTAAAAATATCTTTTTGTAATTATACCAATAAGGAAAAAAAAATTTAAGTACACAAATTTCCCAGGAGGTTGTAAGAGGTTACATGTCACTCTAGCCAGTGACTTTGTTTCCCATTATTTAAGATAGTTTCTGAAATATAATAAAGAACATCTAATCTCAAAATGTACATCAACAGATTTAAACATTATTCTCATTAACCCCTACAGAGGCTATAAAATAGGGTCAGCTGAAAGGGCTTTCAAATGGTCCTCAGCAGACACTACATCATGTTCTTGTGATCTATTGCTTGGAAAGGAAAAATCTTTTACAGCCTAGCCCCTAAGGGTTTTAAGATCATAACACTTAAAATCCATAAGTACAAGCTTGCTTTGATATCTGGTACAATACTATAAAATATGAATTAACAAGGACATTAATCATTTTTACATGATATAATTATTAAGCATGCCATAATCCTGAAAAAGGCAGTGAAATAGTATCCTATGTATTACCCGTTTTAAAATTTGCAAAGATATTTCAGTTTAATTAATGGAAACCACCTGTCTAAACACCATGAGCTCATATGCATTTTTTAAGGACTGGCTTGAAACAGAAATGTAATCTTTAACCAAGTCACACAAACATTCACTTGCAGTGAAAGGAGGTTGCTACAAAACCTGCAGCATATTGTTTTCTGTTACTGGGTTGCAGTAGCTGAAGTTTGTAAGCACCAGAATCCCCCATCCAGCTGATCAGTTACAGCTGTTAATTGTGGAGGGAGAGACTGGCTGACATCTGCTTCTTGCATAGTTAGTTAATGGTTCACTTCCAGGTCCTAAAAGGATTGTAGCTTCTCTCAAAAGACAATGTCGGCCCCCATATATGTCTGCCTTCTACACTGCCTGTCTTGTTCTGGTTTGTCATCCTCTACACAATGCAAATCTGAGTGAACTCACATCTGCCACTGATCGACCCAATTCGTGAGCAATCTTTTCCCATCGACCGGGGGTCCCCCCTGGGAACTTAACCATACTTCTTGTCAGCTGGCTTAGGTCCTCCTCTGTCCATTCAGGTGCCTGAAAAACATTTGTAAAACATTCATTACACTGGGATATTGGACAAATATTTGCAAGGTAATATACTGAAAAAAAAAAATCTCTTTAAACAAATTAATCTAATATTGTAAAAAAACCAAACAAACCCAAAACAAAACAACTGTGTACCTTCTCCCTCTGCTGAAAATCCTGAACACTCAAAAAATGCATTGTGTGTAGTATGTAGACTAACACATTTAATTTCTCTAAGCTGGAATACAAAAACACAGAGTGCAGTGAAGACTCCATAATCCAAAGGAAAATGGCCAGTGACCTGCTGCACCACTCAGACACACACAAGCCCATGGGGCTGGACGGGATCCATCCAAGGGTATAAGGGAGCGGGAGGAAGTCCTCACTGCAGAGGTTCCTTCAACCATTTTACCAGCAGCCCTGGCTCACTGCAGAGGTCCCAGCGGACAGAGGGTTACGAAATGTGATGCTCATCTACAGGAAAGGCCAGGAGGAAGATCCAGGGAACCCCAGGCCTGTCAGTCTGACCTGGGTGCCAGGGAAGGTCATGGAGCAGATCAACTGGAGTGCCATCACACAGCACGTGCAGGACAAACAGGGGATCAGACTCAGCCAGCTTGGGTTTGTGAAAGGCAAGTCCTGCTTGACCAACCTGATCTCCTTTTGTGACACAGTGACCTGCTAAGTGGATGAGGGAAACATTGTGGATGTGTCTACCTGGACTTTAGTAAAGCTGTTGGCACCGTTTCCCCCAGCATCTCCTGGAGAAACTGGCTGCTCAAGGCTTGGCTGGGTGTGCTCTTCACTGGCTAAAAAACTGTCTGGATGGCCGGGCCCAGAGCGTTGGTGAATGGAGTTACTTCCAGCTGGCACCTGGTCACCGGGGGTGTTCCCCAGGGATCAGTGTTGGGGTCGGTCCTGTTTAACATCTTTATTGATGATCTGGACAAGGGAATCGAGGGCACCCTCAGTCACTTTACAGACACACCAAGATCAGGGGGAATGTTTCATCTGCTGGTGGGCAAGAAGGCTCGACAAAGGGATCCGGACAGGCTGGATCAATGGGAAGAGGCCAATGGTAGCAGGTTCAACAAGGCCAAGTGCTGGGTCCTGCCCTTGGGTCACAACAACCCTGTGCAACTCTACAGGCTGGGGGAAGAGCGGCTGGAAAGCTGCCCAGCAGAAAAGCACCCGGGGGGTGCTGGTCAACAGCAGCTGAACACGAGCCAGCAGTGCCCAGGGGCCAAGAAGGCCAGTGGCATCCTGGCCTGTATCAGCAATAGTGGGGCCAGCAGGACCAGGACAGTGATTGTCCCTCTGTACTCGGCACTGCTGAGGCTGCATCTCCAATTCTGTGTTGAGTTTTGGGCCCCTCACTACAAGAAAGACATTGAGGTGCTGGAGCGTGTCCTGAGAAGGGCAACAAAGCTGGTGAAGGGTCTGGAGCACAAATCTGATGAGAAGCAGCTGAGGGAGCTGCGGGTTGTTCAGCCTGGAGAAAAGGAGGCTGAGGGGAGACCTTATTGCTCTCTACAACTACTTGAGGTAGGAGGTTGTGGTGAGGTGGGGGTTGGTCTCTTCTCCCAGGTAACAAAGTATAAAATCAGAGGAAATGGCCTCAAGTTGTACCAGGGGGGTTTTACATTAGATATTAGGAAAAGTTTCTTCATAAATGGGTTTTCAAACACTGGAACAGGCCGCCTAGGGAAGTGGTGGAATCACCATCCCTGGAGGTATTTAAAAGACATCCGGATGTAACACTCAGGGACATGGTTTAGCAGAGGACTTGGCAGTGCTGGGTTAATGGCTGGATTCAATGATCCTAAAGGTCTTTTCTAACCTATGAGATTCCATGATTCCATGATTAAATCACAGTTTAAGACATAAAGTTTTAGGCATTTAATTGGATATGTAATATTTTTTTCAGCAAAGATAAAATATCTCAATTTTTACATACTAAAAAAGCCTCTAAATAAAACAGAACAGTCATCTTAGCTTTTTGTCAGTGTTATCATCCAGTGTTTTAGAACTCTGGCATGATCCAGGAATGAAATCTGTTGATTCTTAAATTGCATTAAGACTATTAAAAACAACCCACCCCCGTCCTTAAAATGCAGTTATGCCACAAAACCAAACCGGATGCTCCTACCAACCAATAACCAACAGATATAAAAATGTTTTGCTCTAACTACATGCCAATCTGTTAACAATAACTGTCTTCATAACGGCCAAATAAAAGTGAACAAAGCAAGGAATACACAATTAGAGCAGTTTAAGGCATGAAATCGTGCTTGCCTCAGAAGGCAAGACGCAGTAACCGTCTTTGACATTTGCAGCATCTTTGGCAACGACCACAGAGCCAAATCTTCATTACCATCACTAGTTTGCCATTTTATTTATTTTTAAGGAACTCTTTATGACATACCTCTTCTAATCACTATTTCCGATAATGAACAGGCACATATCAAGCGGTTTGCATTACAGAGCCATCAGCACAGAACAACAGTCAGAGGTGAGTGACCCCAGGGACCATCTCCACAACTACAGCAAAGCTTCTCCCTGACACTAATCCTGCCTGTCATTCTCCCACTGTGCTCTAACCACACTGACATCCGCCTGCCGCACTGCAAGCTTAACGGGGCCCTTCCTGACTTTTTACTGTCTCCCTCAATCAATGGTTCAAGCGTGCTCTTTTCACCATGTCCAAATGGCAGCTTCACTCATAATCAAAGTGCATTGCTCCTGTTAAAGGGCTTCCCGAAAGGCTTCACCATTTGCATTCATTTGCAAAGCAAACTACTTTTATTCACTTTGTTCTGCTATCAAGAGTGTTCCCTGAAGCAGATAAATTGGCATAAATACAACCTGCCACTTAAAAGACAGTAAATAATAGCCAATAGTAGCAAGGATTTTATCAATCGTCCTGGTTTGGATCCATGTAGTCCTTTATTAAATGCTGAAAGCCTCAAACATTCATAGTTTTTAATATAAGAATAAAATTAATTATCTATGATGCTTCAAACATAAGATGCTTAAACAATGTGTATGTGAGAAATCTTGCACATTCATTACATGCATTATACAATTACACTCCAGCCTCCATAAGAAATGATAAATACACAGAAAATCTTCCAATTGCACAATAACCTCATTAATTTTACTATTTTAAACAAGTTTATATACTCCATACGTTTATTATATTATACTCCATGTAGATATTTTATATTATTTTTAAAAGAAGGATTTGCAGTACTTAATGTTCTACTTATAATAATTTTATCACTGTAATTTAAATAATGAATTCTTCTATGAGTTTTGGTTAAAAGCCTTTTGTTTAAAAATTAGTCAAATTTCATACCTCATAATTAGCCTTAATATGCAGTTTACTGTAATTTTCTATTTAATTTGTACTATAACATGGGAGGGGTTGTTGCTTTGGGGGAGTTTTTTCTCCTTTTTTTTTTTTAAGTGCATTCTCTTACCATATCCAAAGCATATCTAAGCAATTACACATGGAAATCAAGATGATCTTTTCAGTGATATACATATGTTGGAAGCTTTCTGGTAAGTTTTATTTTCAGACTTTTTTTGTAAGCTCACAATTTTGTGCTCACAATTTTACTACCCATTTGTAAATATTACAGAACTCCTAAGGTTATCTTCCTAAATAATGGACAAAAACTACAATCATTCTGCATATCTGTAGTTAATTACACAGCTAATTCACAGCACAACAATTCACTAGCTACATTAAAATATCAACTTCTTAATCTTATTTCAAGCTGACAATAATTTTAGAATGTGAAGACATAAAACATTTATAAATTTGGAAAATCTTTGAAAAAGCTTTTAGAAAACAAAATCCCAACAGCAAAAGCTGTAAAAGAGCTTTTGTGAATTTGCAATTCCTCAGCAACAGTTAATTGTGTCTTTAGATGCAACAGCACCTACTGTGATCCAACTACTACAAGCAGCTATGAGGGTGGTCATGGTGTGAATGTATTCTCCCTGTTCTAATCTGTAGCCAACTGTAACTGTGAGAGTCAAATGAATGCATAAACATACTGCTTTGTCACCTAAAACCATGTGTGTCCAATATTACTGAAACACTGGGCCAAAATTCATCTCTACAGTAAAGCAATGGAAGACACCACATGGTGAGGGGACAGCTGTTGTTACTATACAAGCATTCAGATTTTGCATCAAAAAAGCCCCACTCTGGGATTAACTCCCCATACTGAATATAAAATTAAAAGTACAGAGTTATGGTCTACAGTCTTTAAAATGAAAATAAGCTACAAGTGTAGATATAAAAGTTTCATACCATTCCCATAAGTAATAATCCTTTAACACGGTTTAGTGTGCATAGCTGGCAATGCTGAAGGATTAGTTCACGCAAACCACTATGCACCTTTCTATAGGAAAGAAACATCAACGTGGTTTATTGTTTAGCATCACTCTTACACGTGCATCTGCACTTAGCAATTCCATCCCACTTCATTCAGCATGACAATTTTACACTATTAGGATTTTTTAAAATATGAACGACATTAATTTCAATTACATTAAAAACAATTTTTTAGATAACAAAGCATTTCTTGTCAAGAAAAGTCTGACTTGTTTAGATCTGTTAACATTAATAAGTATAAAACTATATATTATATATATACTTTTATTGATAAAATTGGAAAGTGATTGGTATTTGAGAGTTTATAAGGAAACTTTTAGAGTCATTTACAGTGCCTTGACAATATGAGATAATTTCATTTTTTTAAACTAAGTTTTAGCTTTAGGTCATTTCTTCCTGTCATCAGTATACTGAAGATTCAATTAAAATCACTTTTGTAGGGAAGTTTGGCTAAAGTTTCAATCTAGCTAGAACTGTATGCTACACTTCATCTAATTTTGGTGGTTCACTGATTTGAGCACATCTAGTCCACGATCTTGCAAATAAAACATGAGGCAGCATCTATTTAGAAATACCTGTCCAAATATTTCTAGACCAAGGG